CAGCACTGCAGACATTACTAAAACACCAGTGTCTGTGGATGTGTTTTTAGAGATCATGCATTCTCACTGTAAATCAGAGATTGAGTTTACTTTTTTCAGATTTTCCGTTCTGCAATAAAAAATGTCTGTCTTTCTCACAGTCTGAATAAATTCAGCCATGTTTTGACAAAGTCATCTAAATATGATTTTCTTTTTAATATCATCTTACTTGAAGCAAATAAATATGTGGATGTATACATTTTTAAATATATGCTGTCTAAGCATATATCACTGCTGCCACCAACTGTTTTGGAGGGGAACTGCTTGTTCCAGAGGTGTGCTCTGCTGAGCTACCTCCCATGGAATAAAACACTGACATAGAAGAGGTAGCTGATTCCAAACTACCTCTTGGACACCTCTTGCTATGTCTAAGTGTTTGGCCAATCACTTACACATAACCAACCTATACTTTTCTTCCCAGAGTAACTGTGTCCACACTGAAGATCGCAGTGCTGTGCAGCATTTATCGATCAGAAATAAATTTACCTTTTGAGTGTCTAATCTGCTCATATACCAGGGAAAATAGGAAACTGACAGGTGGCACGCTTAATATGTATTTGTTTGACTGTCCTGGACTTTTATGATGTACTGTAATGTTGTCAGACTGGCTCAGTCTAAAGGCTGTGAAAAAGACAGCGAAGGGCACTGGGTGAACATGCAATGGCCTCACTGGCCCCTTTGTACATGTGCACTGAGTGACACGTCATCCCCTCGGACGGCCTGCTAGTGATGTGAGTCAGTGTCCTTGAGCTGCTCAGCCACAGACAAAGAACAAGCCTTAACATTCTGCATGACCGTCTTCTCTCTCTGCGTCGCTCTTTATTCTTAACACCCATGCCACTCTGCAAGGATGCTTGGGTTAGGTTACTTCCACAGCTCTCATGGCAATGTCTGGGGCGTGATTGTGCTGCGGTTGGGATTCAACACAATCTTGGCATCTCAGCAGGTGTCTTTGAAGTGGCCTGCATGCAGAGAGGGCACTTCTCTGCACTGCAAGGAGAGGCAGTGCTGCTGGGATGGGCTGTAGCATGGCCGCTTGTGTTACTGTGCCTGGCTTTGATGTTGTAAACAGAGCGGGCAGGGCTAGCTGGCAGGGAGGGCGACGGGTAAAGAGGCAGGCAGGCGGCCATGGTGAATGGGATCAGCGGCACTGCAGCGGTCAAACTCAAGTGAGCCAGCAGCTGCTTGATTCACACCAGGAGACGGTTAACTCCACAGTTTATGTCAATAGATATTAACTGCCATTGTGGGATGCATGAACGTTTTTTATTTTTTTTTATTTTATTTTTTGTCAATAATCTTCATTGTTTAAATTCTCACCTCTTAACCAAAGAAAGCAATAAGTATAAAGAAATATATGATTTTCTTATTATTAGACTAGACGTTTGCATCAGCTGGTCTCTTTTTTTACTGCTCTGTACACGTAGCATCTGTAGTTTTGTGTGGGAGCAATGTGAAAGAGCGTAAGCTGGTGAGACTGGATGCACTTGGGCCCGTCCTGCAGTAGGTAGGGCTTAACTAAACTACGCTCATGTGGATATATAATCTGCCCAGCCTGGCACCCCTGTGTCTGCACTCTCACTGCTCTCACCTGATGTGGCACAGCCTCTGTCAGGCCTGAGCGAGCGCCCAGCCAGCTCCGCTACTTCAGGAGAGATGAAGGCATCTCGCAGCTCTGCTGTGGGGGTGGGGGGAGGCAGGCAGCAGCCTAAGCCTGGAGCTATCAGAGGCTGGAGCTCGTAGCCAAAAGCATGTGGGTTGTGAACGGGGTGGGTGGAAGCTTGGCTTAACTTGGCATGACAGCCGTAGAAACAGCCCTGCACTGCCACCCAATGGCCAGAGACCGTCACTACGGCCTTTGGAGCAACATAACCACAGCTAGTCATAATTACAGCACGCTTCAGTTGTTGTGAGTGCATGTCAGAACAAATTATGTAAGTAATGAGGCTGAAAATGCTAAAGGAGTTGAAACACACTGCACAGCTAATGCTCATGCGGTGAGAAGACAAAAACAAACAATAGAGTGCACTCATACAGAGATAGATCTAAATGAAATAACAAGCAACTGCGCACAGTAAGAAAAATATTAATTATAAATTAACCCTCTCAGTAAGGTTGTCAGAACCCGCCTCCTGCCTGGGTTCCACTCTAATCCGGGCCAATGAGGTGCAGTGCCCTCTATTGTGTGGGAGAACCTTAAATTGCAGGAGGTGTTGTATGAAGGAGTATTAATCGGTCATGATCCACCTCTCCTTTTTGTTCATTTTCCTAAAATCTAGGCTAATTCCAAGTAAACATGGCTGGTCTTGTTGACTCCAGCAGTGCAAGGAGAGATCCTCTGAATGAACAGAGTGCAACTCCTGGGTTGGTGGATTAAAGGCTCTGTGTTAAGGGGCTCTCCCGGGCACGCCTCGGGGACGAGGACATTATCCACATGACACAATGCAGGCTCCAAGGCAGCTGATTAAATGGGCAGGGATCTCTGGATGAACTCCAACAAAAGTACTTTTGATGTGATCAAACCGGAATAAAGAGGCAGCTTGTTAAGGTGTGCAGGAGATGTTTTAAGTCTTTTGTCTTTAGACGAGACCTGAGGCATTATAGCACACGGTTGGGCCTGGTTTGAGGGAAGAGGCTGATGTAACACTCTGAAAATATGCCACCTCTTTTTAAGAAGTATATTATATATCAAGCCCTGTTAGGGGAATTGATCTTACACTTATCCGAGCACTGTAGAACAGAATGCCAATGTCAGTCGTATTTGTGTAGGACATTTAAAAACAAGAAGTTTTAAAGAAAGTGGTTCACAAACTAAGCAAACTAAGCTACTAAAACAAATATAAAAAGATGTATCCAAAATGTAAAAGAACAAAATGGAATAAAATCGCACTATGCTACATAATATCTATGGTTTTGTGCTCTACTCTAAGATAAAGCACAGGTAAAAAAAAAAAAGTTTTAAGAAAATATTTTAATGTGTATATTTAGGGAATAACTACTGAGCAAATATGGGTAAGGTACTAAGAAATACAAACATCTTATATATTTTGGGGGGCCATGAAGAAACTGATTGGACAATTAAAGTTCTCCAAGAGGTGTATTAAAAAAAAAAAGAAAAAAAAAACCCTAAAGATGCACACATAGAAACATATATACACATATTCAAAAAGACTTTCTTTCAAAGCGGTATTATAATGTCATACGGAAATATTTCTGTAATATACTTATATATACTCTGACCAAAAGAATTATTAAATCATTTTTTGTTTGATTTTGTTTGAAATTTTCAGTGTTGGAGCAAACATAAAGAGAACATTTCTCTTTTTTCAATCTCTGTAATCAGTGTTCTTCAGCCCTAGTTCACCAGAGCCACTCTTTTGCAATTTTTAATATCATCCCCAGCACACTTGAATTAATTTGTAAAAAAAAAAAGAAACATCTCAATATGTCAAAAATGTAACATCGATCTATTGGTTCAGCTGTAGAATTGGTGAATTAATTAGCTGGAAGAACTAATGTTCTCTTCCAACTAAAGCACACAATTATAGTTTAGCAAATTACATGTTTATGTTTGTGATGGTATGACAGGAATAGGCTTTCTTCCTGGCATGTCTCCCATGCAACCAGGTGGGAGATGACCTCTAATGGTTCTTATGGAGACTTGAGGACCCAGTCGTCCATGTTATCCTGCAGTTATCTCTCACTACATAAACATGGGTCTTCTTCCACCCTTAGAGACAATCGGCTGAAGGGAATGTGTCTCTTTATTGTATCATATTTAAATACCAGGGAAATGGAAAGTTGTATATTACTAATTCAAAATTTTTTGAAGCCCTGATCTTTTTTTTTTTTTTTTTTTTTTTTATGAATGATGTGTAAACTTAGTGATTTAAATAATATTTACTTGGAGTGCCAAGAACACTTTCTGCCCTAATAGGCAGTCTACATCGGTGGTTAAAAGCAACCACCTACCTACGGTGATCTTTCCTCGATTCAGATCAGATAGCTGACACTGCAGTACACTGATGGAAATGACACGACTGAGGAGGGCAACGAAATAGAGAAATCCAGAGGGCGCGAGGAAAGCTCGGAGGAAGGTAGCGATGTGGATGCTGCGCTGATAAAGCTGAGATCAGTGGGCCAAACTGGGAGTTCTGGGTGTCTCGTGTCTGTGTGTTCTGCCCGGTGAGCTGCAGGTTCGCTCCCGGAGCGAGGGCCGACGATGGATGAGGCCCATCCTCTCTGGGCTTTTGTCCTGCATCTCAGGCCTGTCAACAGCACAACGGCACTGCCAAACTCAAACTGAAGCGTTTTTGTGTGTGTGTGTGTGTGTGTGTTTTTTTTTTTTTTCCTTCTCATATAGCTTGCTCACACACAAACACATACAAATACACACAGTTTCTGCTTCATCCAGCACAGCGGGCATGTTATGATTCTTTTGTGGTTGCAGTGGATTTGCTGCTGGGGGGTGGTTATGGTTTTGAAATTTAAGAGCCTGCATGAAGTCGGGTTTTCCACCCGGGAATAGACCTCCTCATGTGGCTAAATGATCTTTTGTCATTGCACAAGGTTTATATTTGCACTTCTGTGGGGCATTAGGGTTTGTGGGCAGCCGGGTCTTTTCTTAATGTAAGTTGTGTTTTCGCGACAAATCGATGCCATGTTTGTACAGGCTGTTGTTGAGCACTTTAAAATTGGATCCTTTCCTTAAAAAACACAGACACACGCACGCACCCTCGCACCCACACACACATGACTGCAGCTCTAAATATTCAGCTAATACTGTGTGGAAGTGAGGATTCAAAAGCCACTGGATGAGATGTTTTTAGAAGCACAGTGCTCTTTCATGTACCAACATGGATCCATGGTGAGAGGGCTGTACAGCAGCTTGTGACAGCAAAATGTTGATTTCTTTTTGCCCTTATTTATTTATTTCTTTCATTTTCTTTTCTTCTCCCCAGCTCAAATCGAAATAATTCCCTGCAAGATCTGTGGAGACAAATCATCAGGCATCCATTACGGTGTGATAACATGTGAAGGCTGTAAGGTAAGCATCAAGAGAAGCGAACCTGTTAGTGTGATGGGTTGTAAGCATGTGAAAGAGGGAGGGAAAAGACAGGGAGGAAACACTGAGGAGGTAAAGAAAGTTGCTTGTTTGGAAGGAAAAAAAAAACATCTTAAAATGTTGCTGAAGTTTTACAGCGTTTTGGAGAGGTAGCGTTGTGTGTGTAAACACACAGAGCATGATCATTAAAGTGGTCAAGCACCACTGAGGACATCACAGAAAGGCACAATTAGTAGGACATAGTCATTCCTCTGCTTTCCTCTGCCTTTTCCCTCCCTGGGACATGTCTTTTTTTTCTGTTTTTTTTTTCTTTTTCTTCTCCTTTTTCGCTTCTGCTGCTCTTCTTGAAATAGGATGATCAAAAGGAGAGTGCTTTGAATTATAGCAGATTGTTGGCTGTTTGCTACAAGCTGATCTTTTTGCTCCCCAAATTGACATGCTGCACATGCACATGCTGTGACATGTACACAAACCCATTCACAGAAGGAAAATTTGTGCACAGAGTGTATTCCTGTCACCCCCTCGTGCTCATCACCAAGCACATCATTAGCATTCCTCAGCCAGCCTCCACCTTTTGCTGTTTGCTGCGATGTGTGTGCATGTGCGCATGCACGTGCATGTGCATGTGCATGCATGTGTGTAATTTGGGGGGGGGGGGCAAAAAGAGGCTCCTTTCAGCTCTTCGTCCCAGCACCCCTCTCTCCCTCTCACACACACACACAGAGATCCTGGAAAGGATAAAACGCTAAAGAATAAACTGCTGAAATCTATCTTTAATGATTGCTAATTAGTCCACAGGCAGAAAGGCCTTTAATGGTACGTGCGAGTACAAAAGTTTGGACCATAAATCATTGCATTATTAAGGAGTGCTACTTGTCACTGGCAGTTTTACTCTGTTTCCATAATGGCTTCCATTATAAAGCAACTTGGCAGCTGTCAGCTGTTTTCTTGTAATTAAACAGCCAATGAGCAGCTAATTAAGACATATGTGTGTGGAGCAGTAGAGTGGGGCATGTTAATGATGTGCTGGAATCAATTCATTAAGTCAAAGAATGAGGAATCCAGTTGGTGTGCGTTTGCAATCCTTTAGCCTTGCACATGCCTGTGCTGCATTAATCAACTCTAATAACACCACTGAAGAGAAATGCCAGGCATTGTTATCATGCGCTACCCAAAACATGCCGCCCTCGTGTTGTACACGCTGGTGGATATACAATGCTCTTTAAATGCCAGCAAAGAAGTCAGGAAAACACCACCGCAGTAGTTTTTGTTGCATTTCAATTTGCAAGCAGTAAAATGAAAATATCACCACTGGGAGTACAGTACATCCCTGCCAGACTGCAATAAATCTTGTCAGCACTAGAGCACAATGAAGACATAAAAATGATCCCCCTTCTGAGGTGCCAGAATGAGCGTTTGCGGCCGCAGAGGCCCGTTAAGCAAACCTAAGGCGTATTTTCCGTGCCCCTCTCCCCATTCAGGGCTTCTTCAGGAGGAGTCAGCAGAGCAATGCAGCGTACTCCTGCCCCCGTCAGAAAAACTGCTTGATCGACCGCACCAGCCGCAACCGCTGCCAGCACTGCAGGCTGCAGAAGTGCCTGGCAGTGGGAATGTCACGAGATGGTGAGTTGTTTTATGGGAGGGGAATCGACAGGTGGGTGCAATGGGCAAAGATACCGAGAGGCGAAGAGCTCACATTCAGACACCTGTTTGTGCAAAATCTGCTTTGTAAAACTTCATAACGAAGTTGGAGCAGATGTTCTGAATTACAAATGATTCATTTTCAAAACTATAATTCTAGTATAATCTTTATGGTTTTAAGGCTTTTATTTTATCTTTGTAACCTCAAGAGGCTCTTACTGATGGAGTTGTCCATGAGAGGTTTTTTACACTTTTGCAGTTGCAGTTACATTGTTTTGAAGTTTTAGATAGAGGAAGGTTCAGGTGAGTAAGTATGTGATGACGTATTGAGATAAGTATACATCTGACTTTCTTGAATGGTCTGTCCTCTTTTCATTCCTCTTTCTAATAAATATGAACCTCTGTACTACCTTGTATATATACCTCACGTAAACAGAAAGTTATGCATTCCTCCTGATCATCTTAAAAAAGTGAGGCATAAATAAAATTAGTATATTTAATTTTGTTTTTTTAGAACCAATCAGGCACACTGAGAATATTGGCACCAGTAATTATTTTTTAAAAAGTATATATTAATATATAAATATGTATTTCTTAACATGTTTCTCACTCTCTGACTAAATGTACTTGCATAGAGGTAAGATCTGGGTTTTTTTTTCTTGATTTTCAGTGTGTAATTATATTTTAATGATTTGACACATCATTATTTGGGATATCAATAAGAGTGGAGAGCAGTGTTTATAAACACTGCAAGGCAGTGCCATTAGCTGTCCATAGAGAAATCGTTGATTTGATTTGAGCCTGTGGGAGCATATCTGATCATGTCCATTATGTGCCAGTGGTGGGAGAGTTGTTGTGGTAATAGAAACCTGTTTTCATAAAACAGGAAGTTGTTAGAGGGTGTTGTTATTGCTGCAGTAGCTAGGATGCAAAATTGGGAGCCCCTCGGTGGGCGTTAGTGTCTTTCTTTGTCAGGCAGGTCCAGACTAGTCTGAGCTGAGGAGCCTCTGCTTGAACACGGCAGATGTTTGTGTTTTTCACTAAAGCACGATTTCACGGATTTGAAGTGAAAATCTTGAATGCACTTGTACACTCAGACTCTGCCCCATGCATCGTATATAAACGAACACAGACGTAAGTCTGGGATCCAGCAGGGCAGGCGTCTGGGCAGCAGCAGAGATGTACAGGCCATCTCTCATGCAGACTTACAAAGGCGTATATATGTTTTGACTGAAAGAAGGTGACTCTGAACATATGTGGACCTTTATGTTTACTTTCCTCCCTGTCCTGCTGCATGTATTTATTTGCATAGATACCTACATAGTGTACACATAAACCCACACACATCCATATTGTGACCTCCTGACTTACAGAGTCTGCCCCATTACATCAGCCAGTTGCCCTGAACTATAGAGATGTACTTACAGTTTTATGTCAGTACTTTATTAGTTCTGATGCATCAGAACTGAAACATTTGATTTTTCCTATTTGACCTGCTGATCAAAAAAAAAATGTTATGATTCTGATCTCTGGCCAAGAGATTATCATACCATATTTAAAGCTTTCTGGATTTAGTTACCAAAACAAACTATATGTGTAGAGTTAGGTATTAAATGAGATTAATTTTCTACCAGTACACATTTTCCAAAGGATATATGTTTGAAATTCTACTCAAAATAAATTTTGTTTGTGTATTTTAGTCTAGCATTTTTTTCATACTTGTTTTATCCTTTTTGCACCAGCGGTGAAGTTTGGCCGCATGTCAAAGAAGCAGCGAGACAGCCTGTACGCTGAGGTCCAGAAGCACCGGCTGCAGCAGCAGCAGCGAGACCACCAACAGCAGCCCGGAGAGGCAGAGCCGCTAACACCTAGCTACGGCCTCTCAGCCAACGGCCTAACGGAGCTACACGATGACCTCAGCGGTTACATGGACGGCCACACTCCTGATGGCAGCAAGCCTGACTCGGCGGTCAGCAGCTTCTACCTGGATATCCAGCCGTCCCCTGACCAGTCGGGCTTAGACATCAACGGCATCAAGCCGGAGCCCATCTGCGACTTTGCCCCCGGCTCTGGCTTTTTTCCCTACTGCTCCTTCACCAATGGCGAGACCTCCCCCACTGTTTCCATGGCTGAACTAGGTAAGGAGCAGGGAAAGGAAGGAAGAGGTTAAAGGAGAGACAGTGAAATGAAGGAGGGGGGTAGAACAACTCAACCGTGGGGCAAACGACACAAAGGTTGCTTAAAATAGCAGGAGGTTGGAGACTCATCTCCAACACTCATTAAAAGAGCCTTTTTTTTTGTAATTAGTTTCCATTAATTAGGGCCAATCGGGATCCAGCAGGGCAGGCGTCTGGGGAAATCATTTTTTTAGGCTCCCTTGTGCCTAGGAACTCCTTTTAACAGATGTGTTTTCAAAACCATTTAAATTCTTATACTCAATATTTCTCTGAGAAAAAAAAAAGTGACCTTTGTTTCAGTGAGTAACGTGGTGCCCCTCCCCCTCCCTTTTCCATGCATTTGTGTCATAACTAGATTGGCTTCGCCTCAACCTTAAGCTATGAGCTTCCTGCAGGCAGTATAAGGAAATGTCAACAAGCTTTCTCCCTCTCCCCTCCAAAAAAAAAGCCCACACATATTCACCCCCCTCCTATCCTTCGTTCTTCATTAGAGCTCAGAAAATAAATCTTCTTTTCCTGTGGCATTTCTCATCAGTGAGCAGTGAGGTCTTCACTTTCACATAGCTTTGTGTATAACACACAGATCTTAGCTGAAATCGTCTGGGTTGATTGTGATGATGATGATGATGATTATGATGATGATGATGATGATGATGATGATGATGATGATGATGATGATGATGATGATGATGATGATGATGATGATGATGATGATGATGATGATTGTTGTCTTCCAGAGCACCTCGCCCAGAACATCTCAAAGTCACACATGGAGACATGCCAGTACCTGAGAGAGGAGCTGCAGCAGATGACCTGGCAGGCTTTCCTTCAGGAAGAGGTGGAGAGCTACCAGAGCAAGGTAAGGCGTCAGGCTCGGTGTTGCACCTCTCTGTAGCAGCTGCAGTTATTATCAAAACCATTGTTTTACAGTAGATAACCCATTCTCTGTCCTATCTTGTTCCTCAGCCCCGGGAAGTCATGTGGCAGCTGTGTGCTATCAAAATAACAGAGGCCATTCAGTATGTGGTGGAGTTTGCCAAGCGCATCGACGGCTTCATGGAGCTGTGTCAGAACGATCAGATAGTGCTGCTGAAAGCAGGTATGACAGCCTGTCAACATGGCCTGCTGCCGTCAAATTCACCTCGGCTCACCTCCGCCAGCCCCGCTCTGCCATTGTCACGGGGGTGTAGCTGACCTGACTGCACAAAGCTCTTCTTCTTCACACACACAGGCAGTGTCACGGACAGGAGGCCCCACCCCAGCCTGCCTCTTTCTGTTTTCGCCCTGTTCGCTGCATACAGAGCAGAGGCGGACGCTGCGTTAGATAAGTCATCCGTTCCAGAGTTCCGATAAAACCCATCAGTCTAGCTGCCGATTTTTTTTTCTGCTTTTTTTTCCCAGAAATGTAGGCTGTCTCTTCAAGCTGCTCTGATAAAGTTCCCTGTATTTATGCAGATGCACAGTGCCATCCACACTTATTCGAACCCCTGGAAAAGATGTGTAAAAAGCCTTAAAATAAATTCCTCTTAATCTCCTTCTGCTGACAGGACAGCACTGCTCCAACTTTTTCACAAAGTTGTAGCAAACCGAGAGAAATCCATTTCTCTTTGCTTGGTCTCCCTACATTCTCCAGAGTCCTCTCATATGCTCTCTTTTCTCAAGCTTACCTCACAGGATTTAGTTTTCTGAACTGAAATAGCCATGGAGTAGGGTAGTTATTGTTTCTGGTGAACATTTTCTGTAGATTTTTCAAAAACTTGGTGCTCCTCCAGATTTGTTGTCTGAGTTCTCGTTATAAAGTTTTTCATTATTTCCTTGAGTGTTGCTGTAGATACATTTAGGAAGCTAGCTATTTTCTTGACAGTACTTTCTGATTTATGAAGATAAACACACCTCAGTCTTTCCAGAATGTTGTGTTCTTTAATCTTTTGAACATTTGTTAAGAAAAGTGGGCCTCTATTCTTAGCCACTGTTTCCATGTTACCCCAAGAAAACACAAATTTAAGGGTTATTCAAGAAAAAACCCTAGACATTCTGAAATTATAAAAGTGCTACATTTATTTCAAATGAACTACTATAGATATTGAGATGTGTAGCATCAATGATTTTTATTGTTGCCTTTCTCTGTGTATAAATGTACTAAGATGTATTTTCTGAAATTTTCAGAGTGCAAGGCTGTTGCACTAATGCAAGATGCATTTACTCAAGGCTTTTTACAGATTTTTTCAGCTGTGTCAATAAGAATTACAGTTCTGTACCTCTTTCCTCTGTGTTCTCTCCCATCACGTTGCACAGATCGCACCATCTAATAAATAGCTTTTTAGCTTGAAAAAAAGCATCTGAACGAAAGAGTGGTGTTGCTACCTATTTTCGTCAAATTTGACTCTGGATAGAATAGCCTTCCATCGATGATGTTTTCATCTGCGGAGGCAGTTTTTATTCTCATCTGCCAGCGGGCGCATTTTAAAGCAGTTGTTTTCTTATATTTCAGAAGATTAGCACAAAACATAATCATGTGTTTTGCACCTTTGCCTGACGTTACAGGGGAAAAAGGGAAATTGTCAGCATCTTGTTGCTGTCTGTCTCTGCAGGCTCTCTGGAAGTTGTGTTTGTCAGAATGTGCCGTGCCTTTGACTCGCAAAACAACACAGTCTATTTCGATGGAAAATATGCCGGACCTGATGTGTTCAAGTCATTAGGTAAGTGGAGTGGGTGTACAGTCGGGCAGGCGTGGGTGCCTGCTTGCTGTATTTGTGTATCTAGAGTGTTTATTTTTTTACAGTGTCTTCTTCCTCTCCTTGGTGTAACAGCCAAAATTAGAGTCGGCTGCTGTTCTTTTCTCAACGCTGAAGGCCTGGAAGCAAACACTGAGCTCCTTATTCCTTCCTCACCTGGCATTTCTGTCTCTTCAGCGGTTATTTATGGTACAACAGAGATGTTACCGAGGCGCCGCTGCATATGGCTCGTGTAACTCTGGAATAAATAAAGCCAGACGGGGCGTCTTTGGGGAGAGTGCTATCAAAACTATTGCCGGTAGTCTGACATAAAACGTCTCAGACAAAAAAAAGCAAATAGCAGTCATGTTTGACTGTCATATTTTACTGTGATATTCCAACATGGATTTTCTTGTTTCAAGGTAGCTTTTTGACAGAAAAAATGTAAATGCATCCCACAGTGATTTTGAGGATGCACATTCTGTTTCTTTGTGTTTATTTATCACTCTGTTTATGCATTAGTGAAAGTCCCTCTAACACATAGCAGGGGACGGCGGCGAAGAGTGATGGGCTTTCAGAGCAGCAGTGGCATATGCCTATCTGTGTACGTCCCTAATAATTGATTTAACTAAAAGCCTCAATAGTGACCTCATTTTAGCTTGCATAACACCGCCCAACTGCCAAAAGTGACTCGTCTGGGAGGCAAAACTCAGTGAAAGCATTGCCTGTTCTGCTTAAGACGCTCCCATGTGCTGTCAGCGCGCTGCTCTTTTTTATCCTCTCCCCTTCCTCTCCTCTCCCTGTGTGCCTCTCTCCCAATAAAGATCAAGAGTGAATGTTGTTCTTTGGTCTTCCCCATCCTAAAACTGCTCTTCCTCTCTCTCTCTCTTTGTCTCTCTCTCCCTCTCTCTCTCCATGTCCTTTGCTGTGGCAGGCTGTGACGACTTGATCAGCTCCGTCTTCGAGTTTGGGAAAAACTTGTGTTCTATGCACCTGTCTGAGGATGAGATCGCCCTGTTCTCTGCTTTTGTGTTGATGTCTGCTGGTAGGTGTCAGTCACAGCAACAAACAGGGGGGAGATGGGAGGGAGCAGCCACACTCACCTACTCACCATAACAATATACACTGCCTTGCAAAAGTAGTCATACCTCTTCACCTTTTTTCATTTGATTACATTTTAATGTGCATTTTATTGGGATATTACATGAAAGCCCAATGCAGACTTGTGTACATTTTGAAAGAAAACTAAACTAAAATAGTCACATGCATATGTATTCAGCCCCTCTTATTCTAATACCCTTAAATAAAGTCAAGTGCGATCCTTCAGAGTAAAATAGAATAGAAAGAGCTTTGATTGCAAGGGAAATGTTAGGTGGGACAGCAGCATCAAGTTCACAGAAAAAGTTTTTAAAGTGTTAAAGCAATATAGAAAAAGTCACCTCGTTAATCAAAGCAGGATCATGTGTTAGAACAGTACTGAAACCAAATTTAGTTGGGAATCTGTGGCAGATCTTAGAAAAATGCTATTGAAATGCTCTTCATTTGGTCTAAAGCAACTTTTCACGGAGCAGTGGTGAACAAAATTCAGCAAAGTTGGTAGACATAATTAAAAACACTTAGAGCAGCATATTGCAGCAAAAAGTGTTTCAAGAAAGTAAAAAGTCAACTGGGTTAAATCAACTACTCACCACACTTTTCAGATTTCTGATGGTCAAAACATTAAAAACAAATGTAGGATGTATTTGTTTTTAATTAAGATTTATAATTGTAACATGACAATCAGGTTTTATGTATATTGTTTTGCAAAACTCTGTACCGCAACCACTTTTATGCTAGCTTATATGCAAAGAAGTTTGCTAATAAATGAAGCAGTGAAATGTCATCCTCCAGACCGATCCTGGCTTCAGGAGAAGGTGAAAGTGGAAAAACTCCAGCAGAAGATCCAACTGGCTCTTCAACATGTTCTGCAGAAGAACCACAGAGAGGATGGCATTCTTACAAAGGTCAGTCACAATACAGCATGCCATATGTCCAGAGAAGTAAAATATTTTTACAATTTAGTGTCCAAACTAAACATAAAGTTCCTTTTTTTCCCAGAGAAAAGTGAAAATTTGTCAACTGAATTTTCTTCCTAATATAAAGTGTCACACAGTCTCAATATTTACAAGTCTTTTTGCCCCGTGTAGGACAGAAAGCACTGTAGGGAGGACTGTTTTCGTTTTTTTTTTGTTGTTTTTTTTCTCTCTTCACTACAATTGCTCCATGTCCTTGCCTCGTCATGAATCTAAACAGCCTGTCTCCTCTCTCTCTCCCCACAGTTGATATGCAAAGTGTCGACACTGCGAGCGCTGTGCAGTAGGCATACAGAGAAGCTCACGGCTTTCAAAGCAATATACCCAGACATTGTGCGTGCCCACTTCCCCCCCTTATATAAGGAGCTGTTCGGATCAGACTTTGAGCAGTCCATGCCCGTCGATGGGTAACGTGCGCGACCCCCTCCCCCCTCCAGGTGCAGGTGCGCCCAATGTTTGAGGGGGAGGGGAGCTGGGGGGGACGTGGAGGAGGAATCTGAGACACTTTACTGGTGCCCTGCACAAAACCGGAGTGGACAGATGGCACGCTGTTCAACTTTATTTTCCTCTTGGTTTTCTTTTTTTTTTTTTTCTGTTTTTTTTTTTTTTTTTTTTTTTGCAGTGGAGGGGGGAGGGCATTGGGGAGCTGATTGTCAAGGTTTACTATGTTGAATTTAAGTCTCAAAGGAAGACACAACAGAACCCTAGCGGGACATGAAGAGGAGATAGGAACAAATGATTTCTGTTCGGCTGAACTTGGCCTTCCTATGCACTTTTTGAAGAAAAAAAATATATTTTACCAGTGCTCTTTGCTTTTAACATGATGTGGGAGAAAAAGTATAAACAACACTTAAAAATAGACCACATCAGTATTATCTTCCAGATTTGCACTCCTTGAACAAGTTTTAGTATTTTCTCAATCAAATCTTTGTAATGTCTAATTTCCAGAATTAAATTGTGTAAGAAATGTGCACACTTTGGTCAAGTTCAGCCATTTTTCCTCCTTTTTGTTTTTTGTTTAAGAAGCAGCGCTCGAAATGAAAACTCACAGCAACTTTCTGGGAGGTTTCCGTCGGCATGGTGATGCATTCGGCTCCTCTTTAAGGACAATCGATTAAAAAGGAAAAAAAAAAGAGAAAGAAACCTAGAATTCTGGTAATTCTTATAAAAACGCAATGATTTTAGCTGTCAAGGACTCCATCCACCATTGTTGCATAGTGAAAATCATGTAAGGCCATCTGCTATTAATCCTTCTCTGGACAGGTGCCCTGAAGAAGCCCGGGGCACCGACGCAATGAAAAGGCTCCATTCCACCTGTTTTATAATGTACTACAGGGTATATGGTCATAAGTACTTACTATACAGAAAAAAAATAATGTTTATAGAATCTATTTTAAATAACATGTATGATATTAGTAGTTAGACCATTCTTAATTGTTGAATTGATAAGGCACTTTTATTTACACCTTTGTTTAATTTAAGACTTGTATATTTACCTAGTGATGTGTTGCATGTGCACAAGAAGTACAAGCTGAATCATGAACACAGAGGTTACTTTTGGGAGCTACAAATGGTTATTTGGCCTGGAAGTGTTTGGAGGGGGGTGGTTCCGTTAGGCTGGCCAATGATGCTGCTGGACACCGATCAATGAGGCATGGATTAGGAGGCAAGCTAAAGACACTCCTTTATTATTATTATTTTTTCTGCAGCAACTACAAATGCATTCTCATCTAAATGATGTGTTCTGAATATTAGGGATAGCCTCTGAATGCTATTAAATTCTGAAACCTTTTGGGTTACAGAAGTTTGCAGATAAATTCTAATTTGACAGACTGCACAGATATTGTTTAACAACCATAAATGTATATATAGTTTTTGCAATCTGGTCAAAGTGGAGAAAACACATTGAGATTATAATCCAACTGTTCCACCTAGTGGAAGGTAAAAATAAAACAAGCAAACATGGCAGAGGTGCACCTACCACCCTAAAAGCACACCTGCAGTGCATTGCAAAAATGATTCATACTCCTTGAACTTACTTTAGACAACATTTTATCATGTAACAATTCTTTGATGCAATCGTGAATGTATTTTATGTGGTAAGCCAACACAAAATGAAAATAATTGTGAAGAGTGAGGACAGTGATGCAAGTTTTTAATCAAAGACTAAAAAGTGTGGTGTTCAGCTTCTCCGTTGCAATAGGTCTGAACTTTACAAACTTGACTGGACCATTTTATCATTTGGAATATGCTGCCCTGTTGGACGGTCTGAAGTCTTCAGCAGCCTCTAACTGTTTTTTTTTTGTTTTTTTTCAGCATTGGCCTGTATTTAGCTCCATCCATTTTCTCATTTATTCTGGCCTTCTGTCTCCTAAAACACATGCCCACAGTATGATGTTGCCACCACCATGCTGGGAAGCTGGGCTCAGTGTGATGAAGAGTTAGTTCTGGGCATCAGTTAGTTTTTGTAACTTTGTCATTAGGTGTGAAAGATAATAGCTTTCTTTCAACAACCGCTTTTGTTCTGGCACATTTCCATAAAGATAAACCACTTTGCCACAACTTTATGGCTGGCCAGTCCTATATAATATTTTGTCTTCTCTAAAAAAACATCTATTAGCTTTGTCTTAGATTAATTAGGCAATTTGATTTTATGTAATTGTATTAGGAAAGAAATCCGCTACAAAAGAATTCAGATTATTCTTTGTATAAAAGTTTGAAGGGTTCACTGCAACATTAATGGTCCATCACATAAAATGCTAAAAAAAAAAAAACACATTGACATTTTTTTACTATGACTGGACAAAAATAAGACAAAAACAGAGTTCAAGGGGTATGAGGATCAGTCAAAAGTTTTGTTTTTCTTATATAAAATGAGTGACTTTTTGCCTTCTTACCATCGCCTCAGCTTGGCAGCACCTTAACGGAACACGAAAGAAAACAGCTAGGAGAAAGTGAATATTCAAAGCCTTGTCTGGTCGTAAAGCTTCTATTTTTGTAACTCGTTTTGGTTTTAACAAACCCATGAAAGAGGATGAGGGAGAGGACAAAAAAAGATGTCAGGTAGCACTTAACTGTATCCCTGCAATAATTAAGACTCGCTGTTGTTTGTACAATTAGGAGAGGGAAGTATATTTAAAAAAAACAAAACAGAAAAGCGGTAGGACAAGTGCTATTTTCAGAACGCTTTGTTGTTGTGCTTCTGTTTTTGTTGAGTGTGTCTTTCTTGTCAGTGTGGTGATAAAAAGTGTTAAAACAAAAACAAAAAACCCTGGATGTGCCAAACTGTAGTTGTTGCTTCCGCTTTCCAGTCTACTTGCTTAAAATGTAGAATGGATTCTGAAGACATTCCAGCAATCTCGGTAGCAACTCCTTAAATATCTTAAAAGAAAAGGAAAAATATCCCTTTAGAAAACCCAGCAAAGCGTGTTAATACATGTGTCACTAACTGTCAAGTTTCTCCTGGTTTGATTTCACTGTGCATTCCCAACTTGAAAAGGATGATCTTTTTTGTGAAATATAACTGGGGTTCACTCAAGGAGTCTTCATTTTAGTTATATTTATTTTTATATGATGCTCCAATCATACAGGTGAAAACCCTCAAAAGAAACAGAAACATCTAAATTACATCGTGAACTCAACAGGACAAATACACTGTGAAAACTCAAAATAAATTTCCACTGATTTAAATCATTTAATTCTACAGTATAATAAATTAACATTTTCTATCAATATGTTCTGCTTTAACTAATAAACACCAAGTGCATATAAATATATATACATTTCCTTTTTTTTTCTCATGAAAACAACAAAAGTTAAAGTCCATGTAAAACAGTATTAGGAGCTTACCGGCTGTCCTTCACAGTTTTTTAAAGATTTGCACAGTTTGTTTCTTGCATGTGATCAGCACTGTTTGTCACACATGCTGTGCCACTCTCTCAAACAAGAGTGAGAGGTCAGCCACACCTAAAATACTTTTCCAATTGCCAGGAGATTGACTCCACCTGGTTCTCATCTGTAGCAGGCAGAGCACAAAGAAGCAACAAGAGGGGAGTGGCTTCTTGGCAGTTCACCAGAACACCTCCCACTCGATCTTTCCAAGGAATCGATGGAGAGATCGCAGAATAAATTCCTGTGAACTGCTTTTCAGTTATATATTTGTTCCTCCACTGGCAATAGAACCACCAGGCGCCGAACATCTCTATGCAGGACTGTAGTTTGTGCAGGTTCTTTCAGGACTCCAGACAAAGGCTGGCTTGGCATGAGTCTTGTCACAGGAACGCAGGAGCTTTGGACGACTTTGACGTTCACATCCCGTACAATGCCCTTTGCGTCCGAGTTGACGCTCACAACCCGTCCTAACTTGAATTGGCCCCGCACTGCATTTTGGTCACATAGCCAAACAATATCGCCAGCTGTGACATTTCGATGTGATGTGTGCCATTTGCTTCTCACAAATAAGTTTGGACCAGAAAACTGGCTCCATGATCTCCAGAATCTATTGACATGATGCTGCATCTCCCTGAGTCTTTTATAAGGATAGCTTGCAAAGTCAAATGTTCTGATGTCACCGTTTGGAGAGGCCCGTCCTAAGAGGAGTGAGTTGGGTGATACATACAAGATGCAATCTTCACGGCTCTGTACCTGGGCATCAATAGGACGTTCGTTGGCGAGATTAGCAGCAAGTTGGAATGTAGTCTGAAGCTCATTGTAATTGAGGCCAATGTTGGTGCCCAAACTCTGGAGTGCCTTCTTAATGATGCGGACGGCAGCTTCAGCAGCTCCATTGCGATGAGGCGAGTCAGCTGGATTAATTATCCACTCCCATTGGGTGCCTTTTTGAGCAGACATCTCCTCTATTGCATCTTTGTCTTGGGAATCCAGGAACTGATACAGCTCTTTTAATACAGACTTGGCACCAATGAAATTTGTCCCTGGATCAGACCAGATCTTCTTTGGATGTCCTCTAATTGCAGTGAATCGTTGGTAAGTCATCAAAAAACTCTCTGTTGACATCGTGTCTACCAGGTCTACATGGACAGCCCTGCTGGCCATGCAGCTGAAAACAACACCCCACACTTTCATGGACACTCTTTTCTTGACAACATCCTTGACAAGGTATGGTCCAAAGAGGTCAACTGCTGTGTACTCAAACGGGGCTGCAGGTTTGGTTCTTTCAGGAGGTAAATCCCCCATTATTTGTTGGCATCTTCTTGCTTTATACTTTTTGCAGATAAGACAGTTTTCCACTACTTTTTTGGCAATTCTCCTCCCTTGAATGACCCAGCCTTTTCTTCTCATTTTCAGCAGGGTTGCAGCCACTCCTTCATGACCCTCATTGTGTGCCTCTCGAGCCAACAAATTAGAGACCCATGCATCAGATGGTAGAAGGGGGACTGCCATGCCGTCGTCTCTGAAACAATGGATTCTCCCACCACAGACTAATAATCCAGTTTCTGCCTCTCGGTACACCACCAGGCGGTCTGTAGTGGTAGCTGGAAAGGTTACCCCCTCTTGAGCAGCAAGACAGATGTCTCTGAAGGCATCCTGTCGCTCTGAAGCAGTAATGACCCCACTTGTTGGCACAGCCTCCCACTTTGGTGTCTTTATGGACTTGTTTCCAGACATAAATTTTCTGGCAGCTCTCCACATGAAAGAAACAGTCTTGACCAGAGACATTAGACTACTGAACCGCCTTTCATCCACCAAGTTTTGTACAGCTGCTCCAGCAGGAGGTCTCCGCTTAGAACTTTGCCCAGAACTTTGATCTCTCTTTGCTTGGGCTCTGGTGACTGCTGCTGCAAATGTCTTCTTTTGCATATTATTAATTCTTTCTCGAGCTACAGTAGAGACCTCTTTTGCAGACATAATGGGCCACTCACACTCAGGGAGGTGTAGGAATTTTGGTCCTTCTTGCCACTCTGAATTAACATCGAGTTCTCTTGGTCCAGCTCCTCGAGTGATAATGTCGGCTATGTTGAGTTGTCCAGGGATCCACCACCAGTCTTGTAACTGTGTACTGCTTTGAATTTCTCCAATTCTATTAGCGAAGAAGGTTCGAAATCCATAGCTCTCACGTTGAATGGCTCCAAGAATCGTTTGACTGTCCAATAAATGGTACCACTGGCTGATCTTCATATGGGCATGTTGCTCAAAATATTTTTTAAGACGACTTGCAAAGACCGCACCACAAAGCTCTGCTTTGACTGCATCCCCTTTCTGGTCTAGAGGTGTCAACTTTGCTTTTGACTCCACTAGTCGAACTGTTATCTGTTTGCAGCAGTTCCACCGTAAGTAGAGAACAGCTCCATATGAGTTTTCACTGCCATCTGAAAAGGTAATTGCAATGGGTTGAGTAGTGACATCTGGAGGAGTAAGGGCTCTTGGAAATGCAATTTTACTTAGCTGTACATACTCCTCAAATAGATCAACCGCATCTCTGGAGATCATCAGATAAGGGAAGGTCCCATGTCTCTCTGACAATGTTACAATTTGATTTTGCCTCTTGGAATGCTCTTCGGACCAAAATGGCCCCTTTTTGCTTTGCTGGTGTTGTCAGGCCGATTGGGTCATATAACCCAGCTACTTGACTCAACAGTTCACGCCGTGTCAATGGGTGTGGTGTCTTTATCCGTACTTCCTCTAGCAGCAAATCTTGGCCAAGTCTCATTTTTTCTTTCGCTTGGAGAAATTGATTCTCACCATGACGTGCAACTTGTCTTCATTTGCGATGTAACCAAGGCCAAGTGCCTTATTGTTCTCCTCCTTCAGTTGATTTGGCAGGACAATCATCTGTGGTGATGTCCCCAGTTTCTCTTCCTTATTTTTGCCAGAGAAGACCCATGGTTTTAGCTCAAATCCTCCTGCTTTTAAAATCAACTCTACATTCTTTGTGATGACCTTAAGTCTTTTGCGGCAGTTGTGGGATGTTGATATGTCATCAACGTAGCTGTGTTCATGCAATACTTGATGTTCATCTTTCATGCTGCTGAATTGAGGAAGGTTAGCTGTCTCTCTCATGGCAAGTTGTGCTATACAACCTGCTGGTTTGTCCCCAATGTTTACCCGTGTAATTGCATACTCCTCCAACTCTTCATCCTCTGAATCACGCCACAAGAAGCGATGCAGATGGACTTCCCGCTCCTCAAGCCAGACAGAATTGTACATTTTTCTGATGTCTCCCAGAGCAGCATAAGACCCCTGGCGGAACTTGAGGAGGACTGCTCGGATGGAATTGAGGACATCAGGACCTTTCAACAACAGATCATTTAGACTTTGGCCTTTATACTTTTGACTGCTGTTCCATACGAGTCTCACAGGGTTGTAACAGAATGTGGATTGGGAGCGATGAGATGGCTTATATACCAGACAGGTCCTTTCCAGGTGTTTAAAACCTCTTCAGTCAGCTTTTTTGCAGCCTGTCGGTCAACCATTTCATGAACTTGAGCACTGTAAGCCTTTTTCCACAGTGGTTCCTTGGCTAGTTGTTTCTCCGTTCTGAGAAAAGTTGCCTCCACTGCTTTTTTGTTGTTTGGTAATGTGGAGGGGTCCTCAAGCCATGGATAGCTTGCATGCCAATGGGGATTATCGCTGTGGTCATCAGCACCAGCATATGTCAGTCCACTCTTTACCACTTCTAATTCTCTCTCTTCAGCCAAGGTCATTTCTTTGCCACCGGGCTGGCAGTTGCCACAGCGGCACCCTCCACATTTTGGGGTGCAAGCAGCACCAATGCTGTCCCACTTCCACCATTCAAGGAAATCACGAGTGGTAGCTGCAGAGCTAAAATGTTTGATGGTAGATGAGGAGCACACATGCTCTTTGTACATCACTGCAGCGGTTCTCATTGACCGGGCAAAGTGGGTTCTGGATTGGTGTGCTGTGAATGTAGCCTCTTCAAACAGCTCAGGGTGTGTTCCTGCGACTGTCTTTCCCAGTGGTCCATCCCATAATACAAGATCTCCTACAGCACGTATCTTCTGTGGAACCAGCCGACCTTCTTTGTGACTTATTAACAGCTGTATCTGTCTTGGTCTCACGAGTTCACTAAGAGGGATGTCTGGGAAGAACTTTTGAAGTGCTTTCTCAGTTACATGTTGATGGATGTCTGCAATGCTGTCCAAACCATAGCAGAGGAGTTGGTGGGACTTGAAGTTTCCCCTTTCTGTTCTGACCCGGATCTTTAGGAGGTACCGTCTTGTGGTAACTTGAACTTTCATTCCTCCTACACCGTGGACAACCAGGGTTATGGCTTCACTTTCTCAGGTTTAATTGATCGGCTGCATCATGTGTTATATAGTTGGTGTCTGATGCTAGATCAATTAGAGTCCCAATTTTTTGTCCTGCATTAGCTGTGACCTCTAATAGCATCATGATGACAGGCCACTCCACCAAACCATTCTTTGCTAGAAGGTTGGGCTGATTGGACACAGATGTTTTAGCCACTGCATTACAAAAGACATGACGACACTTTTCTGCCTGTTCAGGTGGGAGGCCTTTAATGAAATCTTCTTGAGCTTGGGTGTAGCGGCCTGCTGCATCACCTCCCACTGTAATGTCTTTGCGCCTCTGGATAGAATGCTCTCGGGCCACATCTGCCCTTGGACAGAGATAATAATGGTGCTCTGCAGTGTGTTGCTCTTTGCAGTCTAATCTTCTGCACAGAAATTCAGTTTTACAGTTCTCATACTCATTGTGAATCTCCAGACATTTTTTGCAGGCCCCCAGTTTCTTGACAGCTTC